TTTTGATTTGCATGTCCCTAATGATTAGTGATGTTAAGCATCTTTTTGTGTGATTATTGGCCATTTGTATATTTTCTTTGGACAAACATCTATCCAAGTCCTTTTGCCCATTTATTTTGCAATTTTTTTTATTGTGGTAAAGTATGCATACAATTCAGCACCTTAACCAATTTTGTATGTATAGCTCAATGATATAACGTATGTTCCTATTCCTGTGTAGTCATCACTGCCGTCTGTCTCCAGAGCTCCTTTCATCTTGCAAAGCTGAAACTCTCTGCCCACTAAACGACGAGTGTCCATTCCAGCCCTCCCCCCAGCCCCGGGCAACCACTGTTCTACTTCTGTTTCTGTGAATCTGACCTCATATCACTGGAATCATGATGTTTGTCCTTTTGTGTTTGGCTTATTTCAGTTAGCATAGTGTTCTCAAGGTTCATCAGTGTTGTAATATTTGTCAGAATTCCCTTCCTTTTCAGGACTGAATAATATTCCACTGCATGTGGAATATGCCACATTGTGTCTATCCATTTATCCATTGATGGGTGCTTGCTTTGCTTTCAACTTTTGGCTGTTGGGAATAATGCTGTTAAGAACAGGAGTGTATAAATACCTCTTCGTGTCCTTGCTTTCAGTTCTTTTGGGTATATGCCCAGAAGTAGAATTGCTGGATCATATGGTAATTACATTTAATTTTTTGAGGTCATGCCATACTGTTTTTCACAGTGGCTGAACCATTTTACATTCCCACCAGCAATGCACACAAGGGTTTCAATGTCTCCACATCCTCACCAACACTTGTTATTTTCTGTTTTTATTTTTATTTCTGTATTTTTTTATAGTGGCCATCCTAGTGGGTATAAAGTGGTAACTCATGTGGTTCTTGTTTGCATTTTGCTGATTAGTGATGTTTAGCATCTTTTCATGAGCTCACTGACCATTTGTGTTTCATTTTTGGAAAAGTGTTTATTCAAATCCTTTGCCCATTTTTGAATTGTTTCTTTCTGTTTGCTTGTTGTTGTTGAGTTTTAAGAGTTTTCTTTATACTCTTTAGGAATTTTAATCCTTCATCAGAGATGTGATTTGCAAACATTGTCTTCCATTCTACAGACTAGCCTTTTATTCTGTTGATTGTGTCCTTTAATACATGGAAGTTTTTAATTTCTGTAAAATCCAATTTGTTTATTTTTCCTTTTGTTGCTAATGCCTTTGGTGTTACATCCAGGGAATTATTGCCAAATCCAATGTCATGAAGCTTTCTATGTTTTCTTTCTCTTAAGAAAAGAGTTTTATAGTTTTAACTCTTATGTTTAGGTATTTGGTTCACTTTGAGTTCATGTTTGTATGTGGTGTAAGGTCAGGGTCCAACTTCATTCTTTTGCATGTGAATATCCAGCTTTTGCAGCACCATTTGTTGAAAATACTATCTTTTTTTCCATTGAATGGCCTTGGCGCCCTCTTCAAAAGTCACATGCCCACATATAGAGGTTCCTTGCCAGGCTATTTATTCCGTTGGTCCTATGCCTGTACCACCCTGTCTTATTGCTGTAGCTTTGTAGTAAACTGGGAAATAAGGCCGTGTGGGTCCTCCAACTCTACTCTTCTTTTTCCGGATTGTTCTGGCTCTGTTGGCAGTGTTTTATCATTTTAAACATGCAAGTCTTGTTTGGTTAAATTTATTCCTAAATACTTTTTTGTTGCTAATATTAATAAAATTGTTTTTTAAATTTTGTTTTTAGATTGTTTTTGCTAATGTACAGAAATACAACTGGTTTTCATGTGTTGATTTGTACTTGTCAAGTTCGCTGCATTTGTTTGTCAGCTCTAGCTTTTTTTTTGTATTTGGTGTCTTTAGACATATAAGATCATGCCATCTGCAGATAATAACTTTACTTCCTCTTTTCCAATTTGGATGCTTTTTATTTTATTTTATTTTTTTTCTTGTTTAATTGCTCTGGCTAGAACTTCTAGTACTATTTTGACTGGAAGTGGCAAAAGTCAGCATCCTTGCCTTATTCTGGATCTTAGGGGAAAAGCTTTCAGTCTTTTAGCATTGTGTATGATGTTAGCTCTGGGGTTTTCCTATGTGGCTTTTATCATATTGAGGAAGTTCCCTTATGTTCCTAGTTTGCTGAGTGTTTTTTTTTTTTTTACTACTTCTCATCCAAGAATATGTTTATTGATTCTTAGAAAGAGAGTAAGGAAGGGAGGGACAGAGAGAGAGAGAGAGGGAAACATCGATGTGAGAGAGAAACATCAGTCAGCTGCTTCCCGTACTTGAGCCCTGACCAGGGATCAAACCCGCAACCTTTTGGCATACAGGATAGCCAGGATTTTATGAGTGTTTTTATTATGAATTTTGTTAAATGCTTTCTTTTCTGCATCAGTTGATATGATTACGTAGGTTTCTTCCCCCTTCATTCTATGAAGGTGGTGTATTACAATGATTTTTTTTTTGTTGACCCATTGTTGCATTCTGGGAATAAACCCCGCTTTGTCATGGTATATAATTCTCTTAATATGCTCCTGAATTTAGTTTCCTTGTATTTGGTTAAGGACTTTGGCATCAATATTCATAAAGGATATTAGTCTGTAGTTTCCTTTTTGTTTAGTGTCTTTGTCTGGCTTTGGTATGAAGGTAATGCTGGCCTCAGAGATGGACTTAGGAAGTGATTCCGCCTGTTGAATTTTTTGGAAGAGTTTGTGGAGGACAGGTATTAACTCTTCCTTAAATATTTGGTAGAGTTCACAAATGAAGCCACCTGGTCCTGGGATTTTCTTTGTTAGGCCATCTTTTGATTACTAATTCATTCTATTTATACTAGTTGTAGGTCTGTTCTGATTTTCTGTTTCCTTCTGAGTCAGCTTTGGTTGATCACGTTTCTAGGAATTTGTCCATTTCCTCTAGTTTATATGATTTGTTAGCATATAATTGTTCATATTATTGTCTTATACTTTTTATTTCTGTAAAATTGGTAGTAATGTCCCACTTCTTTCCTATAATTTGAGATTTTAAAACTTTGAGTCTTCTTTTTTCCTGAGTAAATCTAGCTAAAGATCTGTCAGTTTTATTGACCTTTTTAATGGATCCACTTTTGGTTTAGTTAATTTTCCCCACTGTTTTCTTAGTCTCCACTTTATTTACATCTGCTCTAATCTTTAATATTTCCTTCTTCCTGCTAGCTTTGGGTTTCGTTTTCTTTTTCTCTAGTTCCATAACTTATAAGTTATCCATTTGAAAATTTTCTTCTTTTTCAAAGTAGGCATTTTCAGATATAAATTTCTTTCTGAGCACTGCTTTCACTGTATCCCATCCATTTTGTTATGTTGTGTTTTCATTCATTTCTAAATATTTTCTAACTTTCACTGTGATTTCTTCTTGGACCCATTAGCTGTTTAAGAGTGTTTGTTTTACATATATTTGTGAATTTTATGTTTTCTTTCTGTTATTGATTCCTAGATTGTAAACATTGATTATGATTTAAAGAGATACTTTATATAACTTCAGTCTGTTAAAATTTATTAAGACTTGTTTTATGGCTTAACACAAGGTCTGTCCTGGAGAATGTTCCATGTGTTTGAGAAGAAGGTGTATGTTGTTGGGTGGAGTGTTCTCTATGTGTGTTTTAGGACTAACTGGTTTATGGTGTTGCTCATACCCACCCTCTAGTTCCTTAATGATCTTCTGTCTGTCTCGGTGTTCTATCCATTATCGAAAGTGGGGTAGTAAAGTCTCTGAATCAGTTTATTGGGCCTACGGTAACAAGTACCACAGACCGTGGAGGGGTCGCACAACAGCTTTATTTTCTCAGTTCTGGAGGCAGGAGGTCCAAAATAAAGGTGTAAGCAGGACCGCGCTCTCTCTCCTAGCTCTGGGGGAAAATCCTCCTTGCTTCTCCTAGCTTCTGGAGTTCGCCAGCAAACCTTGGCGTTCATGAGCTTGCAGATGCGTTACTCCAGTTTCTGTCTGCGTCATTGCACATTACACGACACCCCCCCCCCGCCCCCGCTGTGTGTCTCTGAGTTTCTGTTTCCTCTTCTTCTAAGGACACACGTCCTTGTGTCAGGGCCCACCCATCCAGTACGGCCTCATCCTAAGTACATCTGCAAAGACCCTACTTTTAAATAAAGTCGGTTAGAGACATCAGGGGTTAGAGTTTCACATATCTTTCTGAGAGTCACAACTAAACCCATAGCAGGTGTTATCTTACGATTGCTGATGACTTTTTAAAATAGTTAAACATCTCTGAAATCAGGATATATTTTACAATCAATGGTATCTTCGATTCCATGTGCCTCCGTTACAAATGTAATGGGGTCGTTACCATGAAGGAAATACAGGCCGAGAGTGGCTGTGTGAGTGAGTTGGAGTGTGGTTTTAGGGTGAGGGGTCAGGGAAGGTTTCCTTATGTAGCTGACATTTAAATAACAAATAATTACTTAGAAGGAGCCAGCCATGCAAAATCTGGAGCAAGAGTATTTCAACCAGAGGGTGAAAGCCTTGAATTGGAAAGAAGTTTGGTATGCCTAAGGAATGGCAAAACAAACAAACAAAAATCAAAACAACAACAACAACAAAACCCCAAACCAGTGTAGCTAGAGCATAGTAAGGAAGAAAAAGGTAGGACAAGATGAGGTACGCATGGGACCTACTAAGCACCTACTAACAAGAAGGGTCGAGATGATGAAATCTCTGCAGGTGGAGCGTCCTTAAGAATACAGCCACCCTCAAGAACATGGTAAAACTCCCACATTCGAAAAGATGCTGCTATAAGTAAACCCTTTCTAATTTCTGTAACACCACTGATCCTTTATTCTGACCCTTTCGATGTCCATATGCCAACACGCTCTTGTTGGGTTCAGTATTTCGGAAACTCATCTAACAATTTTATGAATTATTTTGAATCTTTATCCTTTCTGGAAAATGACTTCTCAGCCTTATGGACATAAACTATATCACTGTCATCGCTTCACTAAAAAACAATCTCTTATTTCTCTTGAAGATTCAAGCAACGTATTCAGTTCCTGAGCAAAATTCCAGTCTAGAAGCAGGCGTTTATTCTCTCAACTTACCAACAAGGTGAGTGTAATTTTACATGTCTAAGTGTGTCTCGGAGGCGTCTCTCATGCTTGCAACTCATTGCAGTGCTGGGAAAGGTTAGGAAGAGGCCCGCTGGGGGTATGATACCCTTGTTACTTTCTTGTTGTTTCAGCGGCACACTAGAAGCAGAAGTGACAAACCAACATACAAGGGGGGGAAATGCAGAAGCTTCTTCCTTTGACCTTCGGACTTCTGAAATAAGAGAAAAGAAAGAGTTAGCTGTGCAGCCTGCTGCACAGAACAGTTCTTTCGAGTTTCTGGAGCTCAACTGTGGTTGTAACAAAAATGCTGACCCCACCACGAAGCGGGAGACGAAGGCGGTCGCCATAGCTGGGGAGCCTCTTCAGAAGCACCAGAGTCTGGACTTGAGCTCCGTTTTGTTTGGAGCGTGTCCTAGTTCCAAACCTGTCCACGCAGCAGAAAGATACTTCAATTCGAAGGGGCCCATAACCCGGACCAAGTCAACGCCCTTCGAATTGATACAACGGAGAGACACCAAGGAACTGGGCATCGAGGAAAATTTTTCTTATTTGGAACCTCAACTGAACAGCCCTCGCCTTGAGGAGGCTCGCAGAACGATGCCCGTTGCCTCGGGAGAGCTGAATTCCTCACTGTGGTGTGACGCCGAGCGCCCAGGGCGTCACGCCCCTGACGCAAACACGCACGACTCGAGTGCTCTCACCGCGCATTCTCACCTGTCTTTAGAGGATGACCCTTATTTCCTGTCACTGTCTCCAAGTAGTACTGGTTCCAGGATGTCTCTTGATTTACCTGAGAAACACGATAGGACTGTGTCGCCTTGCTCTCTGTTGCCAACCTCCCCTGCCACCCTATTTCGTTATTACGAGTGCCACGATTCTGTCGCACTGAATCCTCCAAACAATTTCCCCCCCACACTGAGCCAAGAGACAGTGGCAGTCGGTAAGTTATTTTTACAAGTTTGTACAGCCTTTTAGATGTTACTCTGATTCTCCAGAAGGTTTGGTTTCTTTTCATCCTCCCCCTTGTCCCTCTCTGTGTGCTTCCTCCTCCTCTAATGATGTGATACGTTGAAAATAGCAGAAACAAACATGTAACATTCCAGGATCTGTATGATCTATGGTCCAGCATCTACGCCAGCAGGGGCGCTTGTAACAAAGGCAATTCTCATTCCTGGGAATGTAGGGCAGAGGTCCACAACTGACCCTTAACCTCTAGAAGCAAATTCCAAAAGAACACGAGAAAAGATTTGATCGATGGCACCACACGGTCACTGAGAATTTTTGCTCTGCCGCCACGCGGCTGCACGGGGCTGAGCAAGGGCTGAGGATGGTGTGCTGTTGCCGAGGCGGCTGGAGGAAGGCCATCGAACTTCCTCCTGCCTCTTCATGTAACTTAGTAGACAAGAATATGTCTTCTGTGTTCTCTGTGGGATTTTAGTCACATATACCACTTTACTTTCATACTTAATACTTCTAGACTTTTGTCCATTACACACATTGTTTTACTGAGTTGTTCGATATTAGAAGTAAATATCTTGTTAGAGAAAATTATATGAGTTTGATGTGGAAGGAGAGAAGGAGAGCAAAGAGTAAGTTTCACTCTCTTAGGTAGATTATCAGAAATTTATAAAAAAACATTCCACCTGAATAAGAAGTAGAAAGAGCTTTGACTCTGTAACGTTATTGTACAGTTCCTTAACATAGGCATGTCAAACTCATTTTCACCGGGGGCCGCATCAGCCTCGGGGTTGCCTTACACATTTATACAGTCTTAAAATTATTTCAGCCCTTAGAAGGCAACCACCAGGCTGATGTGGTCCCCGGTGAAAATGAGTTTGACACCCCTGCCTTAACAGATGTGTAGATGTGTATCTTTGTTACAAAAATATTTTATCTGGATCTAGTTCCTTCTTTGATTAGGTTATTTTATCTGCTTTGATTTTGTTTTGTAATTTAAAGGAATTTTCTTTTTCTTTTTTCACTTTTTTTGTATGCTTTTACAGTTGTCTCATTTTTTTTCTCCCTTTAATTCCCCTCCACCCCCAGCGCCCCTCCCACCAGCCTTCTCCTCCCTTAGTTCAAGTCCATGGGTCATACATATAAGATCTTTGGCTTCTCCATTTCCTATACTATTTTTAACCTCCCCCTGTCTATTTTGTACCTACCATTAATACTTCTTATTCCCTGTACCTTTTTCCTCATTTCCCTTCTCCCCCTCCCTGCTGTTAACCCTCCCTGTGATCTCTGTTTCTGTGAGTCTGTTCCTGTTCTCCTCTCTGAGCACCAGTATTAAAAGATAAATCCTTAGCTTCAGTGATTGGAGCAGCATACATGTGTGCCCTCTAGAGGCAGTTTATTATAATAGCATTCAATTTTTTTTCTATAAAAATTCTGAGTCTATCTATAGAAATATAGAAAACCCTCAAAACCAAGGGGGAGGGTGGAAGCAAGCGAGGGAGGTGGGTTTGGCTGGGGAAAAAAAAAGAAAATCCTGTTACAACCTTGTTTTGTAAAAAAACAAAAAACATACATATTCTTCACTTTGTAAAATGGATTATACATACTAAATCTTTATGATTTAACCTGGCTTATAACTGAATTCTTTGGCATCTAAAAGTGCTTTTATGATGCTATGGTGTATATTCTATGTGAAACAAAAAAATTGTGTAATGTTTTAAAAATTGCGTTTTTATTTTTAGAGAAAGGGGAAGGGATGGAGAGAGGAGAGGGAGAGAAACATTGATGTGTGAGAGACACATCCGTCTGTTTCCTCTCGTTTGCCTCCAGCTGGGAACCGGGCCCACAACCCAGGCCTGTGCCCTGACCGGAAATCTAACCGCTGACCTTCCGGTTTGCGGGATGTTGCCCAATCCACCGAGCCACACCAGTCAGGGCGAGAGTTATGTGATTTAAAGTCATATAATATTTCATATTCTGTTAACTGATTACCAGTGACTCAATCAAAATACCTTGGGGCTTTTAAAAGAAACAACACATTTTGAAGAAGCAAAAACCTCCTGGCTTTGCAACTTAAGATGAGAGAATTTATTTTTGCTTTTCCCTTGAGTGAACAGATGCCAGCTTAAATATTGTGATGATGCTCGATGGGATTTACATAAAGTTTAGAATGTAAGAATTTTCTTTGGATTTTCCCGATTGAAAACTGTAATTATATTTCTGACATTTGGATAGCGACTTCCCCGAGAATCGACGATGAAGTGCCCCCTCCACTTCCAGAACGCACCCCTGAGTCTTTCATTGTGGAGGAGGAAGCTGGTGAGTACAGTTCAGTACTAAGCAGTGTAGCCAAGCACGGATTAACTAGGGAACTTCTCATGTCCTCTCAGTGTCCTGTGTGCTCTTGCCGAGTGACTGTGGCTTTCTAGAAGACGGATAACTCTCCGGAGAATTGGACCGTGTTCACTTTCTTCCAGGAGAAGTCCCACTGAGTGTTCCCAAGTCTGTGTCTTCAGCTGTGATGACAGACGTCAGAAGACCACCAGAGTGGGGTGGGACACCTGAACCCAACAAACCCGATGACTCTGTGAGACTTAGGCCAAGCAAGGTCAGCACCTTTTTTTTTTTCCCCTGACTCTACTCATTTGGATTCAGCAGATTATAGTCCTACTCCTTGTGTTTCTAACACCTATTAATCACCAATAAATATTAGCCAGGTACTACTTACGAAATGACATGCCAGGGTACGTGGTGGATAAAAAGGCGTGTAAAACCCAATTGTTGCCCTTAAGAAATGTGTAGTCTAGCAGTGGAGATACAGGAGGTGTACACAAGTATTTCTGTCTGTTGGTTATCACGAGGCAAATAAAACCAGTGCCATATGAAAGACAAAAGATTTGAAAGTGCGGAAGTCCCCTCAGGTGGGAAGTGGTCAAGGGACTTAGTCAAAGTGGAAACATTTGAGCTGATTCTTAAAGGGTTATTAAAGAAAAAAGAAACGTTTCATAAGTAGATAGCTTGTTTGCAATAGTCACTTGTTTGGCTGTTCATGTTAACTGTGATAAAGTATTTATGGAGAGTAATTTTTTTTGAGTGACAGATGTCCATATTATCTGAGTTAAACCTCTTGGAATAATGTTCTCTGCTCCTGCTTCTGGAAGAAAAATCTGCACTTTCAACTATCTGATGTGCATTTGTATATATTCTGTGAACCAACTATCCTACACTTTCAGAGATCAGAAAAGTAATTAACTAAAACATTTGAGCATGCCTACCCCCGCAATGCTAGTAGGCAAATAGTCTCTACCTTTTTAATTATACTTTTCAGTTACTGGTAATTGGGATTATTACTGTTGATAATATGACGCATACAATGGTCTTTCACTTAATAATTCCCGGAGCAAAGAACAACCCCTCCTCTTCCAATGCCGCATAGTAACTTCAATTTCAACAACTGACCGCCCATTGAAACTTCAGGGCAATGTTCCATGTAGGAAGGAAATGGGTCAAAACAGGGTCAGTTTAGGACTAACTGTCATGACATATAAAAATTACTTTAAGAGTTTGATGCTTTTTTTATAATCCAGCACACTTATAAGTCACAAAAAAATAGGGTCAACATTTCATCGCTATCTCTTACTGGTATGCGCAATATCATTTCAAAAATGCCACGTATTGCTTTGAGTTTGTAAATTTGTGCACATATTCTTGTTTCACTTTTCCTTTCTTTCTCTCTCTCTTTTTTTTTAGAGTGTAAAACTCCAGCGTCCCAACTCAGGTAAAAAAATTCTCTTGGCTTTAGATGAGATTTTAGCCCTAAGTATTTGTACTGTAGGAGTGGCTCGTTAAGCTCAGAGTAAGTCACCTCGGGAGATGGCAGGGTTCTCATACTAGCTTCCACTGTTGATTGGTTTATTTCTGGTTTCCCCAGGCTAGGAGGTTCATCAAGGGCTGGGTGAAGACAGGATTTTAAGATTCTGCCCCTCAATATATAACCCGTTACAAAAACTATTTTAGTAGTATCTCTTCCTTCTCTGCGGCAGTTCCATTTTATAGGTTTCATCACTGTTCACAAGGTGATTCTAAAAATTCTTTGTGGCCGTTTAGATCTTTAACTTGCCGTTGATTCTCCAGGGCTTCTCTGCGCTTTGCTTGTCTTAGGCATTGAAAAACATCAGCAGCAGCTAATGTTTATTGGGCACTGATAAGTACTTTCCATACACCATAACAGGTGGTAAGTGCCCTCAACATATTTATTCATATTAACATACCATTCACTTATCATAGTCCTATTATACATAAATAGGAAGTATAACATAGAGGTTCAAAAACTGGCCTTTTGTGTCAGAAAGACTTTAATTCAAATCCTCAAAGTACCAATAGTTATCAAAAAGCATAACCTTGGCCCTGGCTGCTGTAGCTCAGTGGATTGAGTGCTGGCCTACCAACCAAAGGGTCACTGGTTCAATTCCCAGTCAGGGCACATGCCTGGGTTGCTGGCCAGGTCCCCAGTCGGGGGTGTATCAGAGGCAACCACACATTGATGTTTCTCTCCTTCTCTTTCTCCCTCCCTTCCCCTCTGTCTAAAATAAATAAATAAAGTCTTTAAAAAAACCCTTGGTTAAATGATATATTCTATCAATTTTTCTCATTTATAAAAGGAGGATACCAGGACTCCTTTATTTAGAGGATTTCCATAAGGATTAAGTGCAATGATGTACATGAAGCTTTAGGCACAGAGATTGTCAAATAATAAGTGACCATTAAGTGTTACCTGTTATAATTTTTATTAGATAATTATTAAGCGAGCATTTCCTGGGCAAGCTCTGTGTGCCTTCTATCATTTTAGGAGGGTATATAAGAGAGGGTGCTGCTAGAAGGACAAACACCAGATGATTTCACTTGCATGTGGAATCGGAAGAACAAAATAAACAAACAAAATTGAAACAGACTCACAGACGCAGAGAACAGAGCGGTGGTCACTAGAGCAGAGGGGGACTGGGGACTGGGTGAAAAAGGTGATGGAATTAAAGGTGCAAATTGTTAGTTATGAAATAGTAACTAACAGGAATGTGAGGCACAGCACAGGGAATAGAGTCAATAATGTCATAATAAGTATGTCTGGTGCCAGGTGGGTGCTGGGCATGTCAGGGGAAGCACTTTGTAAAGTATATGCTTGTCTAACCAGCACACTGTTCACCTGAACTAATATAAAATAATACTGAATGTAAAAAAGCGATATATTGTGAAGAACATAGAGGATTTGCTTTAAAATAATTTAGCAGAAAAATAGGATTGAAAGGGTACGTTTGAGCAAATCTGGAAAAATCTTGAAGACTGCTGAACTGAGGTTATGGAGGTTCATTGTACTAATTTCTCTACTTTGAAGTATAGTTGAAAATTTTCCTTGAGAAATAGAGAGAGAAAAGGCACTGCTTAGTGCCTTAGTGCCTTACATTGAAATCGGGTAGACGACATCAGTACTCATCTGGAAAGACGAAGCGGTCATGTGTGTGGCAGTGCTTAGAATCACCCCGAGTGTAGGAAAGAAGGAAGGCTTGACCGGGTAGAAGAGAGAAACCCAAGACGATGGCTGGACAGAGTGATGGGGGAGGAAGGCCGGGGGCAGGGGGCGGGGTCACAGAGACGCCAAGGTAGAAATAAGCACGACCAGTGGTGAGCCGGTGACTGTAACGGCACCAGAGGCTCTCCTCTGGGAAAGACGGACAATGACTGGGCCTAGGTGGAATGTGGGGAGATTCTGAGGGACTTATGAGAGCGAGGCAGATGATACCCAGAACAGGCGACTCTGTGGAGAGAGCAGACTCGTGGTGCCAGTCTGCTCTGGAGGGGACGGGGAGAGATCGCCGGAGGAGTGTGGACACGGTATCCCTTCCAGGCGATGAGAATGTTTGGAAATTAGGTAGTGAAGGTGGTTGAACAACACTGTGAGTGTCCTCTATCAGTCACGGCAGGGTTTGTCATCTGTGTTTTTTTTTTTTTTATCACGCACCAAGCCAGGCAGAAGAGTTTAGATTTAGTGCAGCGAGTAATGAGCATTGTAAGGTCCTTCATAGGGGCAGTATCCAGGTGAAAATGGTATTTTAGAAAGAGATTTGTCAATACATTGTTAACTGAAAGTTCTCAGAGTATTTCCTAATAGCAAAGTAGTTGATAAGCTACCTCACATCATTATCAAATGTTTATGAAGTGCCCACTGTGTGCCAGTTATCATGTTAGGTGCTGGAAACAAGTACTGTATCACACTTCGCTTCTGCTTTCACCCAGTGCACAGGGACAAATGGGAGAACTTGCTTTACAGACAAATACTAAGACCGGAAAAACCACATGACCAAAGATGGGTGAAACTAGCCCTTAGCCACATCTTCATTTTCAGACGACATCGCCCTAGTCTGGCGTTGTACTCAGCACTGTGTAATAGGCAGCCCCTGCCAGTAGAGCAGCATTTGTATCTTTAGGATTTATATCAGGGGAAAATAGCCCCATTATTTAAAAATAGCCCCATTATGGAAAATTTCAACACTTATTTTGAACCTCCTATGATAGCATTATCACACCAGTAAAATTAACTAATTTCTTAGTATTACCTAATACCCAGACATGTTCAATTTTCTTAAATTGTCTTAACAATGCCGTTTCACCATCGGTTTCTTTGAACCTGGATTCAAACAAAGTCTACACATTGTATTTGGTTTATATGTTTCTTACAACTTTTACAATTTGTAGCAGGTCTCCTTCCTTTTTCTATTTCGTCATGCCATTTATTTGTCACTGAGTGCGGGCCATTGTAAAGAGTGCTACTATCCTGGCTCTGGCTGTTTGCCTCCCTGTGGTGTTGTGCACCTGTTCCTCTTTCCCAGCATGCTCTATGGAATGGTAGTGAGAACTAGGAGCTCAGTTAACTTCTGGTTCGGTTTCTTTGGAAAACCACTTTTGTAGATGAGCTTACAAGTTTGCAATGAATCAGAGGCTCCATGGTTAGAGAGCTAGAAGAACAAAATTCTTGAGGCTGCGGTCATTTTTCAAATAATTTTTTATTTGGTTGTTGTAGGTTCATAATGAAAAGTTGGAAAGGGCGGGGAGGAGGGTGGGTGGAGGTGGACGAGGGTACAAGGGGATACATGGGGATGGGGAAAAGTACAGTTAAATAAATAAGTAAATAAATAAACAATGGGGAAAGTCATGCAGAACCCGAAAGGGGTCTTAACCTCAGACTTTGAAGCGATGGGTGATTTTGTTTGCTGTACACTCTTCTCATCACAGATCTGCAAGAAGACCGCTCTTCTCCCCCACCTCCACTCCCAGAGCGAACCCCAGAGTCCTTCTTACTTGCTGATGAAGACTGTAAGTGGCAGCACTTTCTCTCCAAAAAGTTCTAAAAACAAGGCTGTTAAAAGTTTAATGATAAAGCAGGACCTAAATGAGAAAGGTACAAGGAATGATTAAATAAGATAAGAATAATACATGTCAAAATCCCATAATGTATTGTAAAAATAATGCATAAAGAGTCCAAGGAAAGATGACTGCATATATATCTATATAAAACCTGAAAGCTTAAGAAGCTATGTAACAAAACATTTTTTTCTTTTTTAGGTATGCAGGCTCAACCCATGGAAATTTATTCTGCTAGCTGTCCTAACGCCATGGAAAACTCAACATCTTCAAAACAGACACTGAAGACCCCTGGGAAAAGTTTCACAAGGAGTAAGGTAATGACAATGGGAGTTTACAGAAACAGGCCAGAAGCCTTTCCTTACTGAAAGTGTGCCTCCTCTGTCCCCCACCCCCGCCAGCTGCCAGCATTAAGATGAAAAATTAGATTATATAGCTTCACTGAAATAGTTGGTCTTACAACTTTCAAAATTAACAGAAGGAAACAAAAAAAAATACCCCTTAGTTTAAACCATGCCCAATAAAACCATCAACTTTTTTTTTCTGGAATGAGACAAAATGATTCCAAAGTTCAAATGGGAGGATGAAAAGAGCAAGAATGACCAGAAAAGTGGGGAAAAAATGAAAAAACGTAAAAGCAGTGAAAGGAGGGTAGCCTTACCAGCTAGGAAAACATTGTAAAGCCCCAGTAATGAAAATGATATGATATTGATGTATGAAAAAAAAACACATACCAACAGAGCAGGACAGGAAGTCCAGAAACAGACTGGAACACGCATAGGAATTTAGTATGTAGTTAAAGATGGGCGTCTTAGTAAGTGCTGTGGGATGAGCTGAATACGCACCTGAAGAAAAAGCTAGGATCCATGCTTCACAGCTGTACCAGGATGTAGTCTAGGAGGGTAAAATGTTTAAATGTTAAAAAAAAGAACAAGAAACAAGCAAACAAACAAAACCAACCCAAAAAGTACTAAAAAAAAAGAAAACTTGCAAAGATTACTTTACGACCTGGGAGTGGGAATAACCTATATATGACTCGGAATCCAGGAACCATAAGAAGAGAGATTGATACATTCTCCTAAATAAAATAGAAACTTTCCACATGTTGTAACTAAAATCACCTTAAAAATCAAAAGACAGAGGACAAATGGGAGAAAAATGTCTCTATCTGGCATCGTAGCTAAGGAGTTACTTCTTTACTGTATAAAGGTTCCTAGAAACTCATAGAAAATAATAACCCTAGTAGAAAAGTGGGCACAAAAAGAGATAAGATAGTTTAAACAAAAATCAATATTCACAGTCTGCCCATGAAACATTTGGTATGTCCAACCTCAGTCATAATAAGAGAAACGCAAATTAAGAGCGCTGTGACGTGCTGCTTTCCATTGATCAGAATGGCACGTTCCACAGCGTGACTACGTTCTCTGTGAGGCAGCCCGTGGGAACCCAAGCACACTCCTGCATTATCGGTGGGAATGTCACGCTGGCGTGATTTCTGTGGAGGACAGTTTAGCGCCATCTATCGAATGCATCTGCCCTTCGATCCACTTCTAGGACTTTGTCCTTCAAAGATGTGTGTACATCTATGAAATGAACTGTGCCCAGGCTATTTACTGAAGTATTATTTGTAAAAAGCAGACTATTGGGAACAACATAAACATTAATCATTAGGGAAACTGATTAAATAAACATGGTATGTGCAGACAATGGAATCCTATGCAGCTAAAAAAATGAGGACTTTCTCACTATATTTACATATAATTTATTAACTTTTGCTGTAAAGGAACAAAGTAGAATCTATATTGGTATTACATACTTATACATAGCTCTGGAAGGCTACAGTGGGTATCTGTATGGGAGGGTTAGAAACTGGGTAGACAGGAAACAAGAATGGTAGCTTTAAAACAATGTTTAATTGACTGTTGAGGTCACGCTGGCTCACAAAGCTGCACAGGTTTCTAGTGCACAACTTAACAAGGCATCGCCTGCATGCCGCCTCGTGCGCCCATCGCCCCCACCTGGTCTCATTTCTACTAAGGGAGTTTGAATTACAAATAAATTATCTATTTTTAAAAATCTAAAAAAGTTTTCAAGAGAAAAGAATTTATTAAAGATCTAGTATATAGAAGATTACATTTCTGTTAGGTGTTAGGAAAACAGAAATGTCATAAAGAATACCCACCTGTCCTTGACAAGAGTACAGGTAATCGTTGCAGCAGCGTGCCTATGTAAGAAACGACATGGAAGCTGTCAGGGAGAATCGAATACCATGGGACAGATTAAACGTACATGCTGACGATATGTGGAGAAGAGAACTCTGGGTAGGTTCCCGGAAGAGATAAGCCAGACAGTCTACTCTAAGGGAGACAGAGGACATAGGTTTGCTGTAAGGAAAGACAAGGGTAATGTTATGGATGGGACCTTAGTCAACTGAGTGCAGAATATGATTGATAAAAATCCTTGGCTAGAATGGGAATGGCTATGGATCACAGCTGTCTTCAGGAGCTTTGTGGGTTCTCAAATCATCCTAACAAGAAGTAGCAAACTCTGTTTTTTCCTGATAGGCTGATAGAACTATTTCTAAATTCATAGTGTGATTCTCAGATGGGTGGGGAAAACAGCAAGATAAAATCAAGTGGAGACTTTGCCCTGAATTAAAAATGGTAAGATGGAAAAATAGTTTTGTGCATTTTGATGGCTATTTTTTAAGGAAATTATTCCTGCCCTGGCTGGTGTGGCTCAGTGGATTGGGTGCCCGCCTGTGAACCAAAGGGTCGCCGGTTCAATTCCCAACCAGGGCTCATGTATGGGTTGCAGGCCAGGATCCCAGTAGGGGTCGTGTAAAAGTCAACGGCACATTGATGTTTCCCTCTGTTCCTTCCCCTCTCTAAAAATACATAAGTAAATGAAATTTAAAAAAATAAAGGAAATTAATCCTTTTGACTGAAGTCTGTATTTCTACTTGATTAAAGTATTTTGGACTTCAGGCAGAAAAATTAACATTTTCCTTTTCTCCATTTCTGTAGAGTTTGAAAATTTTGCGGAACGTGAAAAAGAGTAAGCATCTTTACACTTATTTTTTTCATAACACATGTACTGCTTTTATAGTTATTTAATTCTCCCTTACATAACCACTCGTGAAAAAGTTAGTATTCTTCCTCAACAGAGGCTTTCCAGGTGCTATGGATTAGGTCAGTCCTCAGCTGTGTGTTGTGCTGGGCTCCACAGTGATAATACCCGGGCGGGGGGAGGGGCGGGGGAGCTTCTGTGGCAGACTGCAATAATGGAAAGATGTTGGCACTCTCTACTCATCCTAAGATGCTGTTATCCAAATGCACTGTTTAAAATTCCCAGCAGTCTAACCTCAAATGTATTTTCTTTGAAAACAGTCACAGCAAAGCATATTGTGAAACAAATGTGTTGATTTAATGAAATAAAGTATTGACACATTTCTATTTTTTCCAAGTATTATTAGCAATAGTGAGTCTGTTGCTTACTATTTTGCTAAACTGTGATGAAAACAGAACCCAAGGACTACTGAAACTGTGGGAACTTGATTATCTCAGAAAACCTTATTTACAACTACAAAGTACACAAAACGTGGTGATACCATTTTTACAGCTTTGATCCACTTGGTCCATCATCCAGGACCACACAGCTACTTGGTGCTACTGAGAAAACTTATGTGAGGTGTTATAACAGTGAGAAGGGTTAGAGCTGAACCTTACTCTTTTCTTCCGAGTTTTCACTCTATCTTTTTGTCCATAAACTTGTTCTAGTCTTGATCTCCAAAATGAACTGGTTTCTCAGCCAATGGCTAAAGTATGACGGAAAAGTACGATGGCTAGAGCCAGCCAAAAGAGACTGTAAACCTTCCAAGGGGAGGAAAGTATACTATAAAGCATGAGAATTCAACAGTTAAAAGCAAAGAAATGAGCGGCTTGAAGAGCCAGCCAAAGACTGATTTGATCAGCTTAGCTTTGAAAACACCCAGGTTTCTTTTTCTAAAAACCAGACCAAGCTGAAACCCTTCTTTCTGCGGGTCCAATCCTGTCCTGGGGCTGTCAGATAAAGACACAGAAACTTGAGGCAGACGTGGGCTGGCACAGATGGAGACATGGGGCTCTCTGAGGACTGAGTCTTGTGTCTAAGTAAGAGCTCCCGCCCTGGCTGGCGTAGCTCAGTGGACTGAGCACGGGCTGTGAACCAAAGCATCGCAGGTTCGATTCCCAGTCAGGGCACGTGCCTGGGTTGCAGGCCACAGCCCCTAGCAACCGCACATTGATGTTTCTCTCTCTCTCTCTCTCTTCCTGCCTCCCTTCCCTCTCTAAAAATAAATAAAAATAAAATCTTAAAAAAAAAAGAGCTCCCAGGTCATAATCCAGATGGAGGCTAATCCTCTATTTCTCAGCTGCCTTTATCCTCTGGTCTTTTCTTCCTTAATTGAAGAACAATATCTGGCTCCAAAACTGATCCTGAAGCTTTAGCCTTATCTGCCTGTATTTGCCTGTGTGTCCTCTTCCCACTCGATGGCTCGTGACTACTGCTCCCTGTGCTCTCCCTGTGGCCTGGCTCTCTCCCTGGTTTGTAGTCGAAGCCGGTCCTGAACCAATTACTGCCAGTATATTCAATGCTCTGATTAGGGAGGACGGTGTCATGCCTCATATTTGACAATTGTCATATGTGGACACTGACCAATAACGAACGAGGTCAGCCTTCAACAACCGGTGTGACCACGGCAAAATCCTGCTTGAAAATCAGTCCTAGTCACAGGTCACCTAAAGGTAGAATCAGCTCCACCAGGAGTGGGGGACTGAAAACTGGGGACAGGTGATTTCCTAAAGGAAAATGCAAGTTCTATTATCAGAGGTAGAAGGAATTAATGCTGGGCAGGTGGCATAAAAAAATCTATGACAACCAATATGTAAAATAATGGTTCTCTCTGATTTAGATGCAGAATCTTTGTCTCCTGTTGTAGAAAAACAGTATTCTTTTCTGGAACAATTGTTTTCTTTCTGGGGGGTGTATATAACTCTCAGCTCATAGGCAACAGACACGATGATTAACAAACATCTCTTGGACTTTCTCACCCACACCTGCTTCTTATGCATGTCTCTATTGTCAGTGCCTAGCCCAATGCGTAGCACACAGAAGGTATTCAATAAGTGTATTTTAATTGAATCTGATTGAAATTCAGTATGCACTGTAGTGATTCATACTCGGGTACCTCCAGGACTGGGGAGGTATTTCTAGAATCCTAGTACTAGGTATGTGTGCATACATGTATGCAGTCCTAATACTGCTTTCTGGAACTATTGAAGATAAAACAAAAGATGACTATTTAATAATTTCTCCCCAATTATGTGCTGTTTCTTAGAAAGTTTATACAAACCTGAAATTATCTTTTTTTTTCACTGCTAGACAATGCTCCCACAAAATGTGGAGCATGTTTTCAAAATTGGGTAGAAACTGATGCATGAATTATATAGGTGCTGGGAAGAGAAATACAGGGATGGGCAAAAGTAGGTTTAGAGTTGTAACACAAATAAATAATACGATAATAAATAATAAAAGAATAAACTGTTTTGTGTACTCACAACTATCAACCCACTTATGCCCACCCCTGTGTATATTTTAAGGCTGACTGTAAGTAGCTAAAATAGCAAAACAAAGAAACATAATGCTTTGGGGAGATTCTGGGCCTAACTAGAATCATCTATAATGGGGAAAAATCATCTATAATGGAAAGCAAAGAAAGATAATCCAGGAGCAAAGAATAGTGTAAGAAAAATCGTAGACTTTGCCGCGCATGACCTACTGTGGCGGGCAAGAGGTTGAAAAGTGTGTATGAGCAGCAGGAATGCAGTCAGGTGAGCTCGAAAGCAAGTGCCCCCCAAAGTTGTTCCACGATATAATGGACCTTATTTATCAGTCCTTTAGAGATGCTCTTTCGTGCTGGGTTTTACTATATGAACAACCTGTTTGCAAAGAAACCTTTTAAAAATATATACACACAAAAATGAGAAGTTTATAGTGTCACCCTATTGGTAAGCATCTGTATTTTGTTACATTTGGTAGTGATATGTTTGTGAGAGTATTACTACTTTGAAGGAAATGTTTGATCTCAACAATCATGTGGTCTGATGCAGTTATCTCAGTTTGTTGTTCTTTCCCTTACACTTTTTCTTTTGTTTCTAGATCTCTGTAATTCTTCCCCACAAAACAAGCCTGCAGAGTCTGTTCAGTCAAATAACTCCAGCTTCTTACGGAATTTTGGTACGTGTGTTTTATCCAGTGAAGTTAAAAAAAAAAGTTTACCTAAATGATTCATTTACAGTGTAAGGGAAACAACTTTAAATAGGGTTTGAGGTTGCATGTATAGGTCCTTATATTTATATTCTTTTCCATGCAATTTATCTTTTTATATTTGACCTCAGCTGCTGATTAATATCTTACATAGAACTATATATTCTATTACATAAAATTACCTAGCATTTGCAGAAAATAAACTAGGTAACCAAATGGTTATGTTGGCATGTAGTGAATGAATGTAACTAGCCAAATGAAAGAAATTCTGAGATGCCATAATACTCCAGTTCATATCTAAGCAAAGTTATAAAAGATACAGAACTGCGATTAAAACTCCCCAGCAGTTGCTGCTACCTTGTATAACTCACCAAACAGTAGGAGCTGAAGCATGAATCTGACAGTTTTAAGGGAACTGTTTGTCCAATCACCCCTAAGTATCAGCTATAAACTTAAAATAACTTTATATTTAAGGTGGCATCATGTATGCTATATATATATTTCCTTTGTAATAAGTGCAGCAATTAATGTAGGATATTATTACTAAAAATTATTATTACCCAGAGAACAGACTCCCTGAAGGGTCTGGGGACCCCACCTTGAGAATACCATGATGCTCTGTGGTGTTGTCCTTATTGGTATGGTCAAAACTGGGCCGCTGCCCCATCCAGATGGCAGGTGGCAAGATGAGAGAGCAGCATGGAAGAGGGGTGGTCCTAAGGCACTACCCTGGAAGTGGCAGCATTGCATCGGCTCACATTCCTTTGAGAATTTAGACACGTGCTATGTCTAAATTGCAAGGGACACTGGGAAGCATAACACAGTTGCCCACTTCCAATTCTATGTCTGAAGAAGCAGCAAGGGAAGATTTTGGGGGGCATGTAGTAAGCTCTGCTACTCTTGGGTCCCTGTCTCACCCTATTTCTTGGGCTGTAAAATTTTATTTGGATTACCTTAACTCAAAGGTTTATAATGTTATAGTTAGATGAAAAGAAGTTAGGATGAGAAAAAAAGTCGTTTTCATGGAATCATTTAGTTGAAAACATTCGTATAGAATACGATGAACAAAGCACCGCGTTTTGCCTGGAACACAGATGTTCCCTGCTTCCTGCTTTTCCCCTGAACCAGGGTTACCGCGTGAGCAACTCACGGCCATTCTAACCTGACAACAGTCTGTTTGTTGTCTCACACGAGGCTAAAATATTAGAGAGCTGCCTCTGTGCTGTTTCTTCTGAAAGTTGAACATTTTGTCTACTAAAAAAAGCTGCACAACTTTCTCATTGGCTTTCTTTTATAAGAAGGTAATATAAATTGTAAGGATATTTCACTTAAAAATGTATTTGAATTAAAAAAAAGTGAGTCATTTATAAACATTTTAATTTTCCAGGAATAGGCCCACATGCAAAAAAAAAGTTAGTTCACTACTGTTCTAAACTACTGAGGATTGGTGAAAAAGACTGAATGCCCATATTCCTCAAATGTCAAACACGCAGTACTTGCATATTATGTTCTTCTTCTCTCAGTCCACTTGGGTTACAACCAAGCTATGTGGACTGCATGAATGATTCTGTGACTATTGAGTGAAACTGTTTAGTCCAAAATATATTTTCTTTTTTACCACTCAAAGGAGTGAAATGTATGTGAACTAGGATGTACACCTCCTCCCCTAATTTTTTAAGCATCACCAGTAATAAATTTTACTGGGTTTCTTTTTTTTTTTCTTCTTTTCCTCTCTTTTCCTCCCCTTTTCTTCCAGTTCTGGTATAGTTTTGTAGTGGATTAGATGTCAGCAATACTCGGGCTATGATGGGCCCGTCCTTGTACTGGATTAAACTAAGGGTTTAGGAATATCTTTGAACTTAGCATTCTCTGTTCTTCTTCTGTATTTCAAATCTTTCATTGCTCAATTTGAACCCCTAAAGTTGCTAAGTGTAAGAGTACCTTGAAAACATACCTCCATCAGAGAAAAGTGAAGTCATACGTTGCTGAAGTGACGAAGAACCCATGTCATTATTTGTCTCATATTTTGAAAGAACCCAGGAAAAGTCTTCATGGTGCAAATCCTCCTCTTTGGGGTGGGTGGGGGAGGAATGTTTGAGGGAGAGACATAAATGATTAACTACATACTTAGTTCTCCAGGATTGCTTATTACTTTATTTTTTCTAAGCTTTTCAAACATAGTCTGTCAGTAATTGAGGGCTTTCTGGGCTGAAGCAGAAGTATAAGTGCAGTTAATGCAATAATTTTATAAAGCAATAGTGCTTATTTTTCTGAAATTGATATTTCCCAGTTTTGTTTTATTGATGAGTGGGTGGTGGGTGAAAGATGTAGATAAAGGATTTTATTTTTAAAATCAGATTTAAAAGGCAAAGAACTTGAATAGACTTCTTCCCCCCTCCAAAACACATGTAAATGGCCAAAAGACATGAAAAGACACTCAACATCACTAATCATGGGGAAACGCAAATGAAAACCACAGTGAAATACCATCTCACACCTGTTAGAATGGGGATCATCAAAGACAAGAGGCAAGTGTTGGTGAGGCTGTGGACGCAGGTGTAAATTAAATGTTGCAGCCACTATGGAAAACAGTAGGCAAGTTCCTCAAAAAATTAAAAACAGAGCTCCCAGATGACCCAGAAATTCCAGTTTCAGGGATATATCCAAAGGAAATGAAATCATTGTCTCAAAAGAGACACCTGGCCTGCATCCCGTGTTCACTGCATCATTTGTAATAGCCAACACATAAAAAACCTGAGTGTCCATTGGCAGATGTATGGGTAAAGAAAAGTTATGTGTATGAATATTATTTATACATTAAAAAATAGGAGATCTCGCCTTTTGTGATAGCATGGGTAGACCTTGAAGGCATCATGCTAAGTGAAGTAAGTCAGAGAAAGACAATTCTATACATCCTCACTTACATGTGGCACCTAAACAACCTGAACTATAGAAATACAGAGTAGAATGGTGGTTGCCAGGGGGCAGGGGTGGGGAGCACGGGGAGGTGCTGGTCAAAGGGCACCCACTTCCGGCTGTAAGATGAATAAGTTCTGGGGATCTCATGTGCAGCAATGGTAGCTACAATTAACAGTACTGTATTATATACTTAAAAAAAAAATCCTCACCCAACAACATGCTTAGAGAGGGGAAAGGAGGGAGAGAGAAGGGAGAGAAACAGTGGTGGGAGAGAGAAACATTGATTGGTTGCCTCTCTTACGGGACCCAGTTGGGGATCGAACCCACAACTTAGTCATGTGCCCTGACTGGGATTCAAACCAGCAACCTTTCAGTTACAGGACGATGCTCCAACCAACACTGGCCAGCGCTGCATTATATATTTAAAAGATGTGGAGAGAGTAAACCTTAAAGTTTACTCTCACCACAGAAAATGTATGCGAGGGGATGGAGGTATTAAGTAACCTTAATGTGGTGATCATTTCTCAATACACATGTGTATCAAATCACCAGGCCACACACCTTAAACTTATACACAGGGTGGGGCACAAGCAGTTCATATGGAAAATGGTTCCATACAGTTCGCATGGAAAATCATACAGTAATTAATACATAGAAGAATAAACTCTTTCATGCACTCACAACTGTAAACCTACTTTTGCTGCACCCTGTATGTTATATATCAATAATATCTCAACAAAAACTGAAACAAAAGAATATATGCTGAATTCCCAAAGGCTATTATATCAGGTTTTTTATCTAATTATTACTGTTATTAAATTTGTAAGTGTTCTACAAATTGAAAATATTATATGCTATTGTTACCAGTTAAGCATTAGTAACTACTACTAATAGTGATAATACCATTACTAAATTGATCAAAGATGCTGTCTAACCTTTTGAAAAAATATCATTGTATTTGCATATATAATAATATACTGTAAAATCTACTTATCTATTTCTATATAAAATCTTTTTTCAATTTTATTTAAAAAATGTTTTTTCAGAAACAATTAATATACAATATTATATTAGTTCCAGGTGTACAACATAGTGATTAGACATTTAACCTCTTATATAACCTATGCAGTGATCACCCCTTAGAAGTCTAATATCCATCTGACATCACACAGTTATTATAGTATGATTGACTATATTCCCTATTCTGTACTCTACATTCCCCTGACTGTTTTTAGTGCTGGCAATTTGTATATCCTAATCCTCCCTCCTTTTCACCTTCAGCTTTATTTTTGTTCCCAGGTTTTGCAAATCGTTTTTCAAAACCCAAAGGACCAAGGAACCCACCACCAAGTTGGAACATTTAACACAACTTTGGACTGTAGTCTGCAAGTGCACCTGCAAAGAAATATGACCAGAATATGGCCAGCTACAATCAGTACTCTATGTTCATAATGTCAGCAGTGCACACAGGCTAATGCAGTTACAGCTCTGAAAAGAAAAGCAATACACGAATAAGTGCAGAGGTTTTCCATTTATTCTTATTTATATCAGGTTGGAAACAGCAGAAAACGAGTTTGACACTTGAGCTTATGTAGAGAACGCTGCAGGAGAAACAGTTTGGGCATGGACTTTTCACTTTTGGAAGTTATTTTTATTTGACTTTTACATAAATATAAACTTTAAAAGATTTGTAAGAATTGGATCTCAATTACATGTCTACATTGCCAGAATTTACTGTAAAAATTTTTAAAAATCTCACCTTGTGGTTGCAGTACAAAATTACTGTGACAGGGAATTCCCTGGGAATTATTGTGACAATTCCCTGGGAGTTATTTTTGCCTAAATAGAGTTTACCTTGTACATTCCCAAGTGTTGTGGGAAATCGGAATTGTAAGAAAAGAAGTTATATTTAAGAAAATAAAATAATGTAAATAATGGCTGTGATCACTTTGATTTGTATATATAAACTAACAAGACGTTCAGTTACATTCCTGATACATTTTAATCAAGGTTATTCAATTACCAAATCTAGAAGAATAATCAACAAAATAGCCATCTTTTGGTAGCATTTTATTCACTTCAAAAGTTCTGTGTAAACATGTACAACTTATATCCAACAACCAGAGGCACTATTGGTTTAATTTTTTTGTATGAATATGGATCTGACATTTTAAGAATATCTGATCTTTCAAATCTAATTTTATGTAACAAATAAGTTAGTGGGTAATTATTACAAAGGATTCTCCGAAATGACATGACCTATTTTTAATTTCAAAAAGTCTAACTTTCAGAAGCATGAAATACTTAAACAGCATTCGTTTTCCAGTATTTTTCATTGGGAAGCCAAATTAAGGCGGAAATTGGATGAAATGTTATTACCTGTTTATTGTAGCACACAACAGGTGCTCAGTAAACTTGGTTTCAAAGTAACGTCACTGTCGTGTTCAATTAGGGGAATGCATCTCCAGGCACGAGTGGTATCAAACCACAGCAATTTTATCTGTGTGCTTCATCGTAATCAATCATCTCCAAATATCTTTATAGAGGACCAATATATATTAAAAGAGTCTTAGGTAAAACCTAAAGTGACGATGAAATTGTCAATGAATTTCTGAACGGAAGCGCTTGTGAACGGTGACGATTTGGGGCGTGTTCTCTGGTAGGCACACTTCTCCAATTTATGCAACCTTATACTTACGACTCGACAAACCTTTAAAAAAAATTAGAATACGTTTTCCCATCCAGAATTTTTCCCTAACTGTAGGGATGTGTTCAAAATAATGCTGGACTCCACCTTTCCAGGCACTGGACGGCAAGGTGAGGCGGCGCTCACCAGGCTCCCAGAAGGTTCTTGCACCTGCCTCGCTATCCCTGGAGCTGTAACCATGGCAACGCCCGCGAGAAGGGTCAAAACGTTTCTGAATTGCAGCCCCATTAGATTTTAAAGCAAAACCTCCCTCACTTTACATATTACTAAATCCCCCCTTTTCCTCTCCGCCTTATCACTGGTTCAACGATAAAAGGCCGGGGATTCTTTTACCTCACAAAGGTTAAAAGAGGAATACGAAATTTAAAAGTAACTATGGAGACCACCTACTCCGCGTAAAATGACGGAGGGACACAAGATGATAATGGGAACGCGCCGCCAGACTCCGAAAGCCATTAACATTGTTTGGGCCGTTAAAGCGGTTGGCGGTAACTCTCCGCCCAGCGGCGGTTGCGTCGCAGTCCGAAGCGTGACTCGGCGCACGCTCCCTTTCCGCTCCTCCGCCCCGGGAGCCAGGGAGGCGGCGGGGGTTTGGGGGGAACTACCGCTCCCATGAGGCTCTGCGCGGCCCAGAGTGCTTTACAATAGAGCTCCGGTGGAGAGGCCCGCGGAGAAGCGCTGGGAACGGCCGCTTCCGGCATGTTCAGCTCCGGATCCAGAGCCGCCGAGAAGTGGAGGGCGGCGGAGAGACTTCAATGCCCAGCGGGCCGTGCGCGGGAGGCGCTTGCGCGATACGCGGACGGGGGGGCGGTCGGGCCATTTAAATGTGTGTTTGTGGGTGAAATGGCTGCGCAGGTCGGAGCGGTGCGCGTAGTACGGGCGGTGGCGGCGCAGGAGGAGCCGGACAAAGAGGGGAAGGAGAAGCCCCACGCTGGGGTCTCGCCGCGGGGAGTGAAGCGACAGCGCCGAGTGAGCAGTGGGGGGTCTCAAGAGAAGCGGGGGCGGCCGAGCCAGGACCCCCCTCTCGCTCCCCCTCACCGGCGACGTCGCAGCCGCCAACATCCCGGGCCGCTGCCGCCGACGACTGCAGCCCCAACCATCCCGGGCCCCGTTAAACCTCTGCTCCTGCCACCTCCGCCGCCACCTTCGCTGGCTCCCGCCGGGCCCGCTGTCGCTGCCCCGCTCCCAGCCCCAGGCACCTCGGCCCTCTTCACCTTCTCTCCCCTGACGGTGAGCGCGGCCGGGCCCAAGCATAAGGGCCACAAGGAGCGGCACAAACACCATCACCACCGCGGCTCCGACGGTGACCCCAGCGCCTGCGTTCCGGGCGATCTCAAGCACAAGGACAAGCAGGAAAACGGCGACAGGACTGGAGGGGTGCCTCTGATCAAGGCCCCCAAGAGAGGTGAGAGCAGGCGAACTGCCCCGAGCTTGGGCTTTGGGTCTCACTCAGTACAGATATCCCGCCCCTTGAGCACTGCAGGACGCCAAACCCCTGCCTAGCTCCTGCTGCTCTGCTCCCCTAAGCCCGCTGGGGTGGACTCTGGATTTCAAACCGCTGACACAGTCTGACCTACTTGAGGCTTCTCGCTCCCAGGCCGAGCTGTCAGTTACTAACCCCCTCACCAGGCCCCCCACCCGCTCCTCCTGGAGCCTTTACCAACGTTTGTGTTCAAATTCCGCAGGGTTTTCGCGCGGTGCGGTTCTTGGCGTGGGATTTGTAGGTGGGGTATTACAAACTGCCTTTCTAAAGTAAAGGCTTTTAGCTAAAACCGTTTCCTCTTGTTTTCCTTGATGGTCGCTTTAATATTTACTCTTCTCTGCTCCAAAATCTTCCCCGGTATGGTTTAGGGCTCTAATAAGTTTGGATTCTTAGAGAGGTTTCTCGACTCACTGATTGACTTAGTTTCTGTAAGGGGAGACGTCAAACGCAGTTTGTTTTCATTCTTTTTTATCTGGAGGTAAAAATCATTTTTAACTTTCATATTAGGTCTTAGTTCTCAGGAAACGGATGCGTAAAGTTTTCTCTTTCCTTTGATCCTAGGAAATAGGGCCAACCGGGCCCTGAAAAGTGGGAAGCTTGTGTTAATTAGTAGATAGTGGAGGTGAGAATTCTAGTCGCATTTTATTTTGTCGGCACAACAAATTAGAATTTATTTAATTCCAATAACCTCAGCTAAAGTCAAGACTATTTAACCCAGAAAGTGTAGGACGATCTAACTGTGGATTCTAGGGAAATTAAGGTGGCCAAAATTGGTGTCTTTCTATTTCCAGGTACCTGTAGCATTTGTTTATATTCTCTGTAGAAGAAGGGGGAGGGTGCTGGATGAACTTTTATTATACCATGTGTGTGTATTTTGTGTATGCTTTTATGTAATGTTAGTTGTATCTCCTCAAGAAGATTTTAAGATACTACTGTGTTTCTAATCCTGGCCCAGACATGTTAATGAACCAGCCTTCCAATCCAAACTTTTGTGAGTCTTGGATTCTTTCTCATAGTTGGTCTTAGATTAAGTCTGAGGCTAACCATTTTATTTATTTATTTATTTATTTATTTATTTATTTATTTATTTATTTATTTGGTACTACTTCCAAACGGTGCAGTTTATTGCAAATAATTGCCCGATAGCATTTATTGAATTCGGGTGAGTCTTTCTCCCTCAGGTGGTGCCCACATCCTCGCCTCAGGAGTGGCACTTGTGCCAGGCTGACCGGAGTGCCGGTTTCCGCCGTCAGTGTGCGGTGATCTTGCTCTCTCTTGTTTTCACTTTCGTGTGTGTGTGTGTGTGTGTGTGTGTGTGTGTGTGTGTTTTAACCATTCAGAGCTAGAGGTAATTTTAGAGATCATCCAATTCAAATCTGTGTAGTAAAAGGAAAGTAGGGCCCAAAGTAATACCAAGTACAAATATTTCAAAAAATTTTAAATGGATCATTTGCCTAATGAGGCTTAGACCCCAGATCCCCTGAATCCCAGTTCCAGTTTCGTCCCCCAGCTGTGTGGTGTTGCTTTATCTCTCTGCTCTTGGTTTTCCCCACTCCTGTGCTTCCCCTTTACTTGGGCATCGGGGTGGCAGTAGCCAGTCCCATCAGGAATTTCTGCCCTAGCCCCTGTCTATGGGGGGAGTGGCAGTTTCATGTGCAGTGATTCATAATGTGCTTCTCTGGACACTGCACGGTCCTCATGGTTTTTTTTTTTTCCTTAAACAAATAAAAAAACCCTTTAACCCAGTGCTGTCCACAGAACTTTCTCCAGTGATGGAAGTGTTCTGTATCTGTGCTGTCCAGTATGGTGGCTGTTAGTCGCGTGTGGCCTTTGAAACAAGTCTTGAAGACTTGAAATGTGGCTGGTATGACTGAGGAACTGAATTTTTAATATACTTTAATTCTCATTAATTTATAATTAAATAGTTCCTTTTGGCTAATGGCTACCACGTTGGACAGCATAGCTCAAAGCATCTGTAGTCTGCCAATACTACAAGTGGGTTAAGGTCAGGTCATTTAAATTTTTAAAAAATTGAGGTGTAATTGATGTATCATTATATTAGTTTCAGGTGTACAACGTGGTGATTCAGTATTTGTATGTATTTTGAAATGATCACAATAAGTCTAGTTTAAACATTTTAATTTTTGAATGAGAGACTGCTGGATTATGCTTTCTGGGGGGAAACCGAATACCACAGCCTCCTGGGTACTTAACACATACTGGCATTTTAAAGGTTCTGAGAACCCTACAGAAAAAAACCTGGTTTAACCTTGTGTAATCCAGGCTCTTACACACACTTTGCATACCTTTTATTTTTTTTGCTGAGCATCTTTATACTTACTGCTGTGGTGTGCAGGAGGCAGGCCTGTGGAATCCACGTGAGTTTAAATCTTGGCTCTACCGCTTACTGTGTGACCACCGGCAAACTCCTTTAACTTCTCTCCGCCTCATGTTCCTGTTTGTAGAGTAAGGTTGAGGTGTTTTTTTCATCAGGTGGTTAGGTGCTTTAAATGGGGCAGTACGTGGGAAGCGCTGAAAACAGAGTCTGGCTGATACGAGGCCCTGTTAAGACTGTTACGTTACTTCATCGTGCTTGGTACTTGAGACAGCTCTCAGGTCAGTAAGGAGAGTGGCTAGAGCCTTGTCATTTACGGAGCGCTGTTTTCCCTCCCCTTCAGACTTTAGAAACTACTTTAACTTTTTATTTTGAGGTAATAAAATATTCACAGGAAATTGCAAAAATAGTATAGACAGGGTTTCTTTCCCCCAAGGGTTACATCTTACATAACTGTTGTATAATATCAGCACCAGGAAATTGACGTGGGTGTGTGTGCATATGCCTCTGTGCCATCTCATCACCTGTAGATGAATCGAACTGCAGTCAAGATTCACAACTATTGTGGCTCCATGGAGATCCCCCTAATGCTGTCCATGTATATATAGTCTTAGGCACTCCCTGTGGCTCCTCACCTTCTCTGACCCCTAGCAACCACTAATCTGTTCTCCAGGAACCACGAATTTAGCTCTGTAGTTTCATGATTTTGAGGATGTTATGTAAATGGAATAATACAGTGTGTCATTTTTCTGAGATTCCCCCCCCCCCCCACTAAGCATGATGCTCTTAGTCCATTCAAGTTACTGTATGTATCAGTAGTTCACTCCTTTTCATTACTGAATAGTATTCTGTGGTATGGATATACCACACTTTGACCATTTACTTATTAAAGGGCTAAATAAATTTTAGTTTCTGGTTTAGCTTTTGTGAGTAAAGCTTCTGTGAACATTCCAGTTCAGGTCTTTGTGTGGATGTAATTGCATTCCCAGAGAATGTAATTACTAGGTCATATGGTAAGAGCATGTTTAGGCGTTGATTTTTATTTTTATTTTTAAAGATTTTTATTTATTTTAGAGAGATGGGGAAGGGAGGGAGAAAGAGAGGGAGTGAAACATCAATGTGTGGTTGCCTCTAGCACACCCCATACTGGGAATATGGCCTGCAACCCAGGCATGTGCCCTGACTGGGAATCAAACTGGTAATGCTTTGGTTCACAAGCCTGTGCTCAATCCACAGAGCTACACACCAGAGCTTGATTTTTATTTTTTAAAGACATTGCCAAACTGTTTTCTAGACAATCTGTACCATTTTACAGTCCTACCAGCAACGTGTAGGAGGTGCACTTCCTCCACATCTTTGCCAGCATCTGGTATTGCTGTTTCTATTTTAGCTGCTTTGGTAGATACATAGTGGTATCTCATCATGGACTGAAGTTGCATTTTCCCAATGGCTACTGATATTTAACATCTTTTCATGTCATCATTTGCTGTTCATATATCCTCATCATTAAAATGTCTATGTCTTTTGCTGATTTTCTCTTCTTCCCTTTTTTATTGAATTTATTGGGGCGACACTGGTTAACAAAACTGTGCAGGTTTCAGGTGCACAATTCCACAACACATCATCTGGTCACCACCCCAACTCAGGTCTCCTTCCACCACCACTTATCTGTCCTGTACCCTCCTCCTCCCCCCACTGCCCCCTTTCCTCTGGCTTTTTTGCCCATTTTCTAATTAAAATTTTTGTGTGTTTTTAACTAAGTGAAAGTTGGAGAACTCTGTATATTACAGATAAGGTCCCTTGTCAGATCCGTGGTTTGCAAATATTTTCTCCCACTCTGTTGTTTGTCTTTCCACCCTTCTAACAGGTTCTTTCACAGAGCAAGCTTTAGAGTTCCTTGAAGCTCAATTTATTGGTTTTTGTTCTTTTATGAATATGCTTTTGGTGTCATGTGTGTGGTCTCAAGACCTAGGTCCCAAAGATTTTCTCCTTTTATTTTTTCCTGAAAGTTTTATAATTTTAACTTTTACGTTTGAATCTGAGGTCCATGGGAGTTAATTTTGTATAAGGTGTGAGTTTTAGGTCGGAGTTCCTTTTCGTTTTCTTTTGTTTGCCTATGGATAGCCAATTGCTCCAATACATTTTTGTTGAAAGGAGTATTTTTCCATTGAATTTCTTTTGCACCATTGTCAAAAATCAGTTCCATTGCCTATTTTTGTATGACCTGTGAGCTAAGAATTTTTTTATATTTTAAATGGTTGAAAAGAAAAACCAACCCATGACATGTGAACATCACATGAAATTCCGATTCAGTGCCCAGAGGCAAAAAGTGTTGACGGAATGCTGCAGCACTCATTCAGGTGTGCCGTCTCTGGCAGTTTTTGTGCTGCAGCGGCGGCAGAGCAGAGCATTTGAGACAGGTCAGCGGGCCTGCCAGGCTTACTCTCTGGCTCTGGCTCTCTGTAGAAAAACTCTGGCTCTGGCTCTTTGTAGAAAAAGTTAGCTGACCCCTGAGGCCGCTCCTTTGGCCAAGAGCCATGTTCCTGCGCACCAGTCCTCAATCCAGACGCACGCACAATTTAACCAC